TTTTTTTTATGCTTTGGATACCATGTTGAAGGGTTAGTGCCTCTTGGAAGTTTCCCCTCATTTATGGAGGGAGGGACATTCTTTCCACTGGGATTTCTGACAGCCTCAAAATACTGACAGGGCTAATAAGAATTCCCCTCAGTGTCCAAAAGTATAAAAAAAAAAAAAAGCGTTGGCTGAACTTGTATTTGAATTGATTGCTTTTCCAAAGATGTAAAACTATTTATTTCTTTTGCAGCAAACTGTTGAATAATGACATTTTCCATACATGTCTCCTGGCCTGTGCTGTGGAAGTTGTCATATCTGCTTATGCAAGTAAGAAAAATATGAAATATAGCTTTCTTTTCTAGTGTTCCTAAGATGTGTAATTTATGACTTAGTTTGTCTACGTATTTTTTTTCTCTCCAGTACGTCATGGTAATTGGTACTGAAAATGTGTTATTCAGGCTATAGGATAATGCATGTACACATTAAAGTGGACCTTTACCTATATCTTCAAAATTACAACAAACACACCTTTTAGAAACGTTTAGTAATGACAATCTACCAACACATACTTCTAGATAATTGCCGGCTTTGTATTTATTGTATACCTTTTTTCTCTTCTCTTCCCTAGTCTTCTCACAGTGGCCATGTTAACTAAGGGCAGATTACTAGCCTTGCAATTACTGTCTAGATTTCTGGCACATGTGACTAGGACATGTGACCATGCACCATCTCAGGGGAGGAAAATGCCTTTCCCTGAGATCTCGTGAGATTACAGATTAGATTTCCCAGCAAAGCTCTGCTGATGACAAGACAATCCCAGTGTGCATTGCTGTGCCAAACTGGAGTAATTTTGCCCCTTCAAAGCAGGAAGTGAATGCTTTGCAAGTGTAAGGATTTCAAAATCGCAGCATTTTACACCTGACATGTATGTTTTTATTAATCATCATACATAGAGAGATGCATTGGTAGAATTTGATTTTTGAGTGTAAAGGTCCGCTTTAATGAGAACCCTTTACAGGATCAAGAGCTAGTTATTAAATTAAATCAGAATCCATTTGGAGGCATTAAATGAATTCTGCAGTTTAGAACTAATGGAGTAGATTATTTACAGTTTCATTGGTTGAACAAATTAAGCTGACAAAATGGATTGGTACAGGTACCCTCCATTTGTTTTGAAAACTACAGCATTGGTTTACTGCACATTTATGTCTAGGGGTCATCTGGTGCAAAGCAGTTTTACTTGCCTGATCCCCTCTCCCACTGTCCCCAAGACCAGCACCCCCTACTTTTCGGTGGTCAAAGGGCCCTCTGACGTCATCACACCTAACGCAGGGCCCATAGCCCATAGGGATATTCCACAACGGAAGCAGAAGACAAAGAGGCGAGCGCCGACTGCTGGGAGAGTGGGAATTAGGTATCCCTCTGCTGAGGCCATAATGTTTAATACAGAGCCCATAGATGTGCATTATACATAAGAACACAGTGGACAGTCCACAAGCCGGAGCGGAGGGGAGAAACGTGAGTGCTGACCAATGAGGGGGAGAAGATCAAGGTAAGTGAAACTGCTTTACACCAGTCCCCTAGGTTAACCCTTGCAGTGCAGGATTAAATGAAACCTATATCGTGAGAGATGGGGTGCTTTTGTTGATTTTTTTTTTTTTTCTTCTGAAATTTCTAGATGTGTAGCCGTCTCTGACTTCAAGACTTTATTAATCACTTGTCTGAAAAAAGTAATGTCAGCAAGTGATGTCAGAGTTTTTTGTTCTGCTTACGTTTTCCTGATAAGTAGATTCCTGATAATCCCAGCCAAATAATTTGAATTATCTGCATCGGTAGCACATCTTTTTCTTTAGTACAGGATTCCTTTAGGTCACCCGTTCACATCTTCTGTTTTATTTTTTCCCCCAACTAATTAAAAAAATTAAAATAAAAAGGTTTTACGTAGAGTTGAGTTTTAGCTTGGTGTAAAGTTAATATAATTGGACTAACTGGGTGTAATCCAGGGAGATAATAACACGGTGATTGCTTACAACAGTTGATGAACAAAATATTTAAGTACAAGCCTGAGTTACCTGATATTTTCCATTTACTAGGAAACCCCTTCAGGAGCCAATCCAGTGCAGAAACAGCAGTGTCCTTTCCATGGATTCTTAATGTCTTTGAACAGAAAGCATTTGACTTTTATAAAGTAATTGAGAGCTTTATTAAAGCTGAACCAAGTCTAACAAAGGACATGATCAAACACCTTGAGCGCTGCGAGCACATGATTATGGAAAGTTTGGCCTGGCAATCGGTGAGTGATTTAAAGTCCTAACAACACATTTGTTTTTTTACTTTTTTGTGTAAGACAGAAGTATAATGTTGACTGTGGATAAAGACATTCTTTATAATTAAGGTGCTCTTTCCCATAGATGAGTAGCTCTGTGGTCTGAAAACTCCTTCACATACAGTAGAGATGTTTTTTAGCCATCAGTTTACATGCAGAGCAATGGAAAGGAAGCAATTGGGAGTTATTTATTTGTTATTGCTTACTAGTTGAAAGATGTTTTCTATCCGAGACCTTTCTACTGCCTTGCCTTCACCTTTATTTTATGCTGGCCCCAAGGTGAAATCTTATAGGCAGGCTCATGCACTCAGCTGTAGGAGTGTCTTATTTATTTTAGCCTTTTTCACTGTTATACTGTATTTTATACTTCCTAAGAACAGCCACCACAACAGTTCTGTTACTACATTTCCTATCCCAAACATTTCCAGGCCATGTTTTCAGTGCTGTGGTAATTTGACTGAACATTACATGGTCGTGCAACACTGTACCAAAATACATTTTATACCATTGACCCCTTACTGAAATGTTGACATTCCAAGGTGATCAAATTTTTGATTCCGTTTGGAAATGAAGAAGCATGCTGATACTGAGGCAGGTAAGGTGGGCTTAGTATTTAAGTTTCTTGTGAAGCCACGTGCAAGTCTTTTGTTATTACTTGAAGAATGTTCCTTGGAGAATGAAATGGCATTGCACTTCAATTGCATTGTGTAAAATGGTTGGAGGTCATGGACAAACCAAAAACACTTTAAACACCCCCACAGCAATCTTTGTTGCTCTCGCTGTGTATTGCTTTTAGGCCACAGCTTCAAATAAAGGAAGGGTTTCTGCTCTTAAATGATAATGTGTTGTCTGAACATTTAAATTGGGGAGCTCCTGGCCAATATCCCTTTGCCAGTCCTGTATTAAAAATACCTTAAAGGATCAATCTTCCATTACTTGTCGTAATTAGAACTCGTTTGTAAAGAAGGAATTGTCTTCTCATTTTCAGTCCATAATTCGCCCTTCACTACCTTAGTGCCTCTCTCTCCTGCTACTTTCCTATGACTGCAGTTAGATATGTTCCTCCTATGGTGGACCTAGAGAGTTTTCCTAGCAACAAACCTTCGGAGATACCTAAAACAATCTACTGCTTTTTCTTCTCTTGGGGGAACTGCTAGACCAGAAGGTTAGTGTACTGGTTCAATGCTTTCTACTCATGTCTTTGTAGTCAAGAATCCCCCAGGGAGTTCCACATAAAGGACTTGTTCACACGACCTCCAGAGCAGACCTGGATGCCTTTCTGCATATGTGTTTATGCACATTTTTCACGCGTTCCGGTTAGGGTTGCCACCTTTTCTCCAAGTGAAACCCGAACACTCTAGTAGCCCCTATCTTAATTTTGGTTGACCCTGTCTGCCTAACATCTTGTGTCCGGGTTTCTGCTGCCATGAAACCCGGACACAGCATTCAAAACCCGAACTGTCCGGGTGAACCCTGGACAGGTGGCAACCCTAGTTCCTGTGCATTTTTCTTAAATTGGTTTTGCTTGGGTTTAAGCGCGTTCTTGTGTGTTCTGGTGTGATTTATATGCAATTGCATTCATTTTTGTGTGTTTCAGTGTGAAACAATGCTGCTGTATTTTTGTTGAAAGCTCTGGAACTGAGCGCAGTGGTGTGAAGTAGCCTCATTGAAAACCATTGGGGTCAATATGTATGCGTTTTTTGTTTAGATCAAGAACGCAGCAGTCTGGAGATGGTATGAACAAGCCCAAATTCTGAACCTCAAGTCCACAAGATATTTTGAATGGACTCTTATTTACTCAGTGAGATCAATTTTGAAGGAGCCTTGTTTCATGGTGACTTTATTTGAGTAATGCTCATCTGCAGGCTCCCATAAGAATGGCGTTGCAGAAGTTTCTGCACCTAGTTGTGAAATTGGGAGAAGTGGGTCGATTCTTCTACACTAGACTCGTCTACTCGTACATAGAAGTGACTAGAGCTCTGTTTGCTGCTCTGAGTCCTGGTCTTACAATTGATATCTAAAACCTTTTCTTTGGTGGGGATTGGGTTGCGCAACTGGACTGTTAAATTTCTTTTGAGAAAAGCACATATCGGCATAGAGGTACTCTAAATAAACACCATCTCATAAGGAATTGATGTCTTGACTATAAGAATCCTTCTTCTGCATTAGCTCATGCAGGAGTTTTTGGCCTGGTTCTCCATTGTCTACTACTAGGGATGTCCAGCTACCAGTTCAGATACCAATGCCGATACATGGCATTTTCACAAGAACTACCAGAGTTGCAGCTGTGACTGGTCTCTGGCGATCCACCACTGTCCTGAAATCATTAGTCTATTGCTTTAGAAAATATCGCATGACAATAAACAAAAATGTATCGGTACTTGTATCTGTGAGTACTTGGGAAATTATCAGTACTTGGAAAAATGGTATATATAGGTATTAAAATGGGGATATACAAATCCCAGGAGCTCTGTTTGCTCCTTAAAAATGACAGCTGCCTCACAACTTTTGAGTTTTTCTCTAGTCTAGTCCTGGAGCTGGAAAAGTATCTGAATATGTACTGAATATGTCCCTATCTACTACTGATGCCTTTTTTTTTTATCAGGGGTTTGTTCTGTTTGAGAATACTGTCTGTGTACTCTTTCTGCATTTTGTCATTGTCTATGTACAGTATCTTTTGTTATTGTTCTAGTTTTACAACTGTTAAATGTTAAGTAAGAGTAACTGATTTAAAAGAAAAGATTTGCTGTAGAAACAGATGTCCCCTAAACTTTTAGATTTCCACTCACTTTCTCTTTTAGTGACAATGGTCACCAGAACAAATAGAGGGATGAAATGTATGTACCTTATGTTCATGAAGGCTAAGAACAATTTTTTAGCAAGTGTAAAAAAATATCTGTTAATCTTGCTGAAATGCAGTGCCCTTGTCACATCCTGTGAGCTGTACAGACAGGAAAAAAAGTGATTACATTTGTGTTGACTACTACTCCTATCGCCTGCATGGAATGAAGACGAACAAAAACAGACATGTTCTACTTGCAGCCAGGGACAGAAAGGGTCTGATTTCAAAGGATTGTTAGGTGAAAAAAGAAAACTAATACAGCCACCTAATAAAGGACTGGCAAATTGGAATATGTAAATTTGGGGGTTTTGAGGTTAAATACGAGCAACTACCATTCAAATACATCATATGTCTGCCTAGTGCATAAAAATGAAGCTTCTAAAAAATATTTTCACCATAATAGCATTTTTCGCATATTTAAAAAGTGCGTATGTCTAATATAAATATCTTCTTTTTTTTTTTTTTTTTTTTTTTTTTTTTTTTT